GATTAAGGACTAATAGTGAAATTGTTACTTTAATTTGATTTGATTGTGATTTGATTGAGAGTATTCGGTCATGACCTTCCCTCGTGTCGAAATTGAATCCGCTAATCTCATTTGACTTAACATTTCAATTTGTTGAAAATTAAAAATTCTAATTATATAACATTAAGAGAAATAAAAATCTCAGTAAAAAAGGCACAAAAGGACATGTAAGATTAATAAATAATCATTTCAATAAAATACTACATTCTCATCCATTGCTACATTTATTTACTATAATAAAAAGAAGATAACATCTATTTTATGATGATATATATTTAAATCCTAACGATTATTCCTCATTTATAAGAGAAATTAGGTCAAAATCGAAAATTTAAGTGTAAAATTTTTAAGATATCCTTAATGAAAGCTCCTTAAGATCAATCAGTGTACGAACTACGAACAACGATAATAACCAGGCTCCACAGCTTAATACTATTAGAGTGACAAAAATTATTTGCTGATTCAATTCATAAGTTATAATAGTAGGCTAAAAATATATATATATATATATATATATATATAAAAATATTATTGCTCACAATGCATAATTAATATGTTGCATATCATAGTTGCAGAAACTTCTAATCATCGGTTGGTATGTAGTGAATTCAGATGAACTGTCGAGGCTAGTTTCTTGTGGTAATTCTTGAAGGAAATAAAACACGAGATTTAGCACCTTAGACCGGAGACTCAAAAAAGGGACAATTGGAGGACTTAATCACGTAACAATCCATTCCATACCAAATGTTGATTAGCCTCCTCATTGTAGAATGAACAGACTAAATAGGGAGGACTAAGTAGAGTTAGCTTTCGAAAGAGACAAGACGACTGCAATTGTAGAATAAAAGGACGGATTGGTAAAAGCATATTTCCATGGAAAGGTATCTTTAAACAACTATTAAAGCTTTTGTTTTCAAAATGATCCACTATGATACGTTATTAAAAAGAACTCATAGTCAACTCTTGAGTTGAGAAAGTTTTATATTTTGAATATCTTTATAGATAAACTTTGGTGATGTGGTTGATGTGTGCACTTTGTTTGAAGAGTATGTTTGTCACATATATATACAATTACTTTCTTCTAGTTTGGAGTTTTTAATATCAATAAACTAGTTGGATTAGGTTATCAGCTAATTGCTGCAATTAACATTTTCCAAACTAATTAACCTCAAACACCAACCACTTTTATCCTAAATACCTACAAGTCATTCAATGTTAAACCTAATGCTGTTACATGGCATCCCATTACAACAATGGAGGTTTGCATAATAAACAATCCAAAAATCCCACCTAAATTTCAAATTTTTATAATTAAATTATTTGGTCGGAAATTATTTTCATTTAGGTGTTTATTAATTTTCATTATTGGAAATAAAATTGTAGAATGTGAAGATTTCATTTTTCTTTTTGTGATATGTTGACTAATAGCTTTGTTTTGAAATTGAATTCTCGCATGTCCAAATAAATTGAAGTTATCTATGGGATATAAACGCAGTATAATTCTCATTTAAAAAAAAAAAAAAATGAAAAGTAGTTACTTTATTAATAATGAAAATAAAAACATAATAATAATAATAATAATAATAACAACAACAACAACAACAACAACAACAACAATAATACAGACTTAGGAAGGGCTTTGTCTAAAGCTGCAATGAAAAGCTAACCATATTAAGAGGTGTCGAGTAAACAATAAAAGTTAAAGAAGCTATACTTCTTTCTCCTTAGTCATATTTTTTATTACCATATGTCGAGTGTACTATTTTTCTAGCTCCTCACTACTTGAAGGAGGTTTCATAAATGTATTATATTACCTCAAGTTCACGAAATAGTTTCATCATCGTTGCTATGAATGTATTGCAAAGTGGCTCCGACATATTCTCATTTTCTTGAAATGTTCAATCTCATATTATTCAAATCGTTGTCAATTAATGACTGAACCAATTTTTGTTCGTTCTGTCTCTTGAACCAATCCCATGATCATCATGTTCCAATGGTGTCATAAAACTACATTCTTCATGTTTATTTTGGTGCACCTGAAATACGAAATCTCTTTATCCTTGTCCTAACCCTCGACTTAGTTGATCGGGATGACATCGCATTTATCTGCCTATTAATTATTTGACTTCTCAAATGATCTATCAAGTACATTTTTAACTTACAATGGAGTTACAACACTCTATGCTTACACTGGAGTTTCAAAAACAATTTTTTATTTTATTTTTTAGTATTCAATGTTACATGGCCGTTATATTTTGTCAAATTCTACATCATTTAGAACAGCTTGGACTTGGGAAAGAAAATGTTATCTAAACGTTATAATTCAACCCCCTCTACTTTACAAAACTAGCTATTAGGTCCCCATGTTTCTCACAATATTCAAATTAACTCCTCCGACTGGACTTGCGTTTGAGATTGAGAAAATTCGAGTGCCAAAATTACCCCTAAATGAATCCAAATCTCCTATAGCTCATTAGTACTTTAAACCCTCATATGCTCATTAGTAGTGGTATTTCCGCAAAAGCCTCCAAAAAACCGTCCACTTTTGTACTTTCTTTCGGTGATCCAAATACTTTAACGTTGATGTGGGATTTGAGATGCTGACATATCACTTCATTTCTTGTTAGATCTTTCTATCTGAACTATTATATGTGATGTGAACAATTTGATTGGATTGTGATGACTTACAAACATGAATAATTCATTGCTGCAAGCATGCAACCAATCCTTTTGTAGAAACTAATTGTGATGTGATTTTGAGTTTGTGTGCACGTTAGATAGGATGACAAATATGGAAATGATAGAATTTTGAAGGTTGCTATATCAACAAATGTTGGATTGTTATGTAACAACCACTAAGGTTAGAATTTACCTTTCAGATCCGTTTGTATAGGGTGTTCATTGCCCAAAATGCTTATAAAGTATAAAATATTTCACAAATGCAAATGATATGGAATACACTTAAAAGTTATTATTATATTCCACATTACTTCATAAGAACGCCACAGCTGTTGACCTCAATATTTGTAGGGATAACGTGGCCAAGAGGTAGATACTTCATGTAGATGCCTTCCTGCACAGTAGCAAACCATTAGTCACTCATGCCTTTTTCCAACAATGGTGGAGGCGTTGTGAGTACTATGATGGTCAAGTTAGTTGACGATGGAGGAGAAAGAAATAACACACTTGCATTCTAAGATAATCGAGCAAAGTATATGTTTTGATATATGGAATTGCATTATCCTTGAAATGAAAATAAGTGCGAGTATTTGTAAGGGAAGAGGTAGATTTGGGACCATTGGATAGAGGTCACGTCTGTTGGACGAAACATCCACTTCTAAGTAATAATCAATCAGTCACCTAGACGGACGAACATCTAATGCTCCCTAATGAGTGAATTTTGTAACATGACCTTTTGATGCCTATTGCACAAACATCACATTAATAAATCGTGTGGATCTTATTTGTATTAAAGATTCCCTATTTAATATAGACAATGCGAAGTGATATTGCTCTAGCAACAACATTCTACCCTTTACCACTTCAACATATACCCTGCTGAGGTGTATCACTTTGAGTCTTCGACTAACAACAGATGTACAAGTGGACTATCTCACCTCGACACTTTCAACAGTGCAAGGTGATGTGGAGCATAGACGTTGTTAACTTGCTAATTTACTTGTCATGTTGGTGCCGATCTGGAGCCTTTTATAGAGAGGTGTAACAACAACAACAACCCATATTGACAAGTTGGATATCCAACAACTAGTCTTCTATTGAAAATAACCCTCCTTCGAGTTGCCTCTCTACAACAAAGGTCCCCAAGAAGGGATGTCTCATTTGATACTATATAATTGAAACTTGTCAACAACAACAATCATCATTTAGGGTAAATCTCACCCTCGAAATTAACTTGTAAATAGAGGACATCACGTACTTGTAAATCTGCAATGCAAGTCTTTTATGAATGATATGAAATACAATCAAGTCATCACATCAATACATTTAGGGTGTGTTTGAGCCCATTTAATTTTGAAAAATGTAAATGGAATAATAGATTGATGCAGAATATATGGTTAAATAAAAGGAAAAGTTTTTGATTTGCGTGTAATATTATTTTAATAAAGATTGTGTAGTTGAAAATGAGTACTATAGAAAAAATAATGTGGTAGAATGTAATATAATGAGTGACAAATAGGGGCTTAGTAGAAAATTGACATGACTTTCGATTTGTATTGAAGCATCGATAAGACGATAAAAGCACAAAAAATAAGGACTTCAGAAATTGCATATGGCGTAACAATTACTTGATGTAGAGCTTACGCTTAAAACCATTTGTAAGTATGGGGTGCACAAATTTTTTTATATAGTTTATCGACATGCCTTTGTGGGAAGAAAGGATGCCGTGTTTCTTTTTTTTGGATTCGACATTTTCCGGAAGATATAACCGTCAAAGATTTACTCATTCAACCCAAATGAAGGTTGAGAGGAACGAGGCTGCCAACGAGGAACATTCAATTCAACATCAAATATAGAAAGGGTAAATCTGCCATTTAAAAACAAAGTTGGTCAAACTCAAATGTTATTCACCCAGCAATATAAATAAAATCAGGGACCAGACTTGCAAACAAAAACAGGTATTATTATTTTTTTTTTTTGTATAGGTGGGGTTCAGGTATTTTTTTTTTTTAATATAGGTGGATTCCTGCACAGACCCTGTAAAACACCTATTGTTCTGTACGTTGGGCATTATTTTTTAAAGAATTCATAAAAGTAAATGCCAGCAATATATCAAAATTTTGCCTCCGTTCGTTTCACGTCAAATTTCCTTCCTCTTAATCTCACGCTACGCACATTCCTCTGCTGCTGTCTCGCAACTTTTCAGTTTAATTTTTTTGTTCATTAACTTTTATAGTGAGTCAAACATTCATAAAGAAAAGGTGAGACTGAATAATTAGTTTCCAATGCGTTACACAAGTACACTCTACAGTCTACTCATATGTTTTTCTTGCTAAAAATGATTGTTGCTATTTTTGACAAATCTTTTTGTTTATTTTTTCTGGGGTTTTTGAGTAAAGGTCGATCTGGGTTCTTCAGTTCTTCTGCTTTGATTTTCTAGATTTCGACTTGGTCCTTTCCTAGTGATACTGTTTGCTTTCTTTAATGTTTTTGTAGTCGATGAAATTGTGGGGAAATTGACTTTTAATGTTTTAGCAACTCCACGGAAAGTTTGACCAAACATTATGAATCTTTCAGCTTTTTGATTCAGTTGATTTATTTTGAACTTTCGTCTTTTTGGTGAGTTGATTTTTGAGATTTCAAAGCTTTAGAGTTTAGACCCATTTTTCTGCTTTCGTGTATCGTTAGATTATTTAGGTAAAAATTGTTCATGGCTTCGTGCTTAGTTACTTTTCTCATACTTATATTGCGTGAAATGAGATAAAATCATTTCTATATGTTATTAATTTCTTCTATTGTCTTGATATTAATGATCAATATCCATGTAAAGATTCCTTTGATTAAGATGAATGTGCTGATGGGAATATATTTTGGTCATAATTAACTGGCTTCATGAGCTAATAATACTTGTTTTCTTAACAGGTATATTCCATGGATGAAATGCTCGGCAGAATATATTGAACAAATAAGAAAGAGATGAAAGAAGAGTCATCAGGGTTGATAATTGGAATATCAATAGGGGTAGTGATTGGAGTGGTTTTGGCTGTAGTTTCATTCTTTTGTTTTAGGTATCATAGGAAGCGTTCGCAGATAGTAAATAGCAGTTCTAGGAGGGCTACAACCATCCCAATCCATGCAAATGGGGCTGATTCTTGTACAATAATGTCGGACTCATCTTTAGGGACCGAGTCACCCCGGTCAAGTACTCAGAATGGCATGTCCTTGTGGCTCGGGAGAATTAAGAAGGCCAGTGTTGTTTCTGCATCTGGGATACTGGAATACTCTTACAAGTATGTATGGCTGTTCCTAGTTTCTTTGTTACAGGAAAATACAACTTTGTGAGAGCTCCATTTATCTCCATTGGTTTCAAAAGTAATCTGCTGTAATTAGTATCTTTATTAACATTAATTTATTATCTATTTGATAACTGGGTGCCTATTGATATCAAGAACAACTGTAGCAAATAGTAACCAGGTCTAGCAACTAATTAAGTTGGTAGCATATGCGAACTTGGAGTAGCAAAAGGTTTTACTCAAGAATTCATTGTTATGTCAAGTTACAAGTCCAATTTAATCGAGTAGATAGTGGGACTTATGGTTCAAATGTTAGCCCGAGTATGTCAATATTATCTAACAGGGAAAAGTTGTTCCGTAGCCTGAATAATAGTGCACATGGGCACCTAAGGGGAAAAAAATATATATATCAGGGATCATCATAGTTGGAACATAAATTTTGTTTTATGCTTATATTTGTTTTCGTCTGAATTTAGTTTTGGTTGAATAACAAGCAGGGACCTGCAAAAAGCGACCTTTAATTTTACCACATTAATAGGTCAAGGGGCATTTGGTCCTGTTTACAAAGCTCAGATGTCAACTGGTGAGACTGTTGCTGTTAAAGTGCTTGCAACTGATTCTAAGCAGGGGGAGAAAGAGTTCCAAACAGAGGTAATGTTGGTTAATGAGTACCATAAATAAGAGGCAGTAAGAGAGAGATGTGTGAACTGATTTGCGGATAGACTTCCAATTGCTTGGTTTAAGAATATGATAAATTTTGGCTTCTGATTTGACAATTTGAAGGGTCATAAAATTGTATTTGCCAAGCACATGTTCCCTTACGTTGTATTGCTTGGTCTAAAACCACAAAAAGTTACGAAGCTAATGCATGGTAAATTTCTTATCAGTAACCCAGTATGTTGCTGCTGCAGTCATTGAATGCTTCTTTCATAAATCTGTAAAGAAATGTAGTTAAGAACTTTGATAATTTCCCATCCCCATTTCAAAGTAAGCAGAAGAATCATGAAATCCTGGATCCAGACTTCTTCTAATACCATAAAAGTTTTGAGTAATAGAAATTTATTCACTCTTGATTGGCTGATGAAAATTGTGGATATATTGAATCATTGAATACTAAGATTATGACAGAATACAATTCATTGATGCATTCTTGTAGCAAACATGGCTTGTTTCTGGTCTACTGTGAAAAGGACTGGAATTCAAAGCTTTCCTGTAATTGGCTGAAAACTTATTCTACACTATGTAGTTCACAATTTTGTTCACTACAGAAATTTTCAACCACCAGTAGAGACTTTGATTGGTGACAATAAAAAATAGCTTGATTTGTACAATCTTAAATCTCTAAAAGAAATATATTACACGATCAAAACCCTTATCATCAACTCTGGATACCATCAAATTTGAACTTTTCCTTTCTTTTCATTCTCAGGTTATGTTATTAGGTAGGTTACATCACAGAAATCTTGTGAATTTGGTCGGATATTGTGCAGAGAAGAACCAGCATATGCTTATATATGTCTTCATGAGCAGAGGAAATCTGGCATCTCATTTGTACAGTAAGTTTTCTATGCTATTTCATAAAAATTTGGTAGGATAAAAGCATTTTTCGAAATTAATAATGTACTCCATCTTCTGTGCTTCTAGCCTTGGTTAAGTGGCACTGTGAAGCCTACGTATGAGTGTGACCCAAAGCAATGCCTATATATACATTAATACTAAATGGTCTCGTATATCCATCTTTCTATGATTGACTGCGCTGATTAAGCAAGCTGCATTAAATATGCACACATAATTCTACTTGTTCTTTGTTTGAACACAGACCTATTTTGGAAGTTACAAAATTGAAATTCGAGCAATTCTCAGCTAGGATTCCCACTGGACTTATTAATCAGAAGAACTGTTGTTGTTCCCAGCTAGAAATAACCATAGTTCTTATAACTAATAAGTCCAGTGGACTGAGAGAGAGAGGTCAAGCATTGCAGTTTGTATTAAATCCATGATTTTAGCTTTGTCTCTTACTAGCGTTGTTTTGCTGTTAATTCAAATTAGTTAGTTCATATAAATATTTTATATCCGAAGGGGGCCACAAGATTTTGGCTATTTTAAGAACATCTACAGTTCTTGTGATATTGTGCCTGGAAAGCCCATATTTCACCTAAAAAGGTTGATGAGGTTTATTTCCTATTCATTCTCTTCTAGTGCATTTATACTCATGGATGAAAAAATATCAGAGTAGCTAATGGCAGGGGTTTAAAATAGGTTCTATACTCATGACTAGCTTCTTGTCATTCTGACACATTCTTCACCTTTTTTACTTTTGTTAGTAATGGTTAATCTGCTAGGTCTCCAGCTTTACCTATGAACAAGCAAAACAGGATTGAGCATGTATTTTGGTTAGCAGAACTGGTAATTCCAAATGCTGCGGACTTAGGTGTATTAATTTGTAATTAGAAAGCATCATTTCGAAATCATGTCTACTATAATTTAGTGAATTTATAGAGATAAGTTTCCGTTTGGATTTCTTGTTTTATGCCTTTTTCCATTTTCTTCTCTTTCATTGGTAGTTTTTTATTAATTAAATGCTTCTCTTTTGGTTGTATATTCAGATGAAAAACAGGAACCATTGAACTGGGAACTTAGGGTTAAAATAGCTCTTGATGTGGCTAGGGGCTTGGAATATCTTCATGATGGGGTAAGATTTGTAAGTCTACCCTTCTGCTGCAGGTCAATGGGAATTGACTTTTTACAAAAAATTCAGTTGTCTCAACTCTTAAACATTTCTGTCGTTGTAACCATTGCTACTTGAGGTCATTCCTTTTTATGCTAAGCCTCTAGGAATAATTTTCTTTAATAAAGCAAAATTTTTACAAGCAGTTGAGCTTAATAGTTTCAATCTTCTCTGTGATTATAATATGTTCAACAAATTGTGAATTTCTTAATTCACCTGAGATAGAAAAGTTCAAAAATTGGATTATAATTAATTGAATTTCAACCATTGTACAATCTCCTCTTATTTTATTTAAAAGTGATTTATATTTTATTATGTTGGGTTGAATCCATATTCAACTTTATACTTAATGTTACCATGACCACCCAATTTGATTTTGGTTCACCATGACTACCTTACTTTATATTTAATATCATCATAGTCACACAGTTTTATTTTATTTCAAGATGGCCATCCAATTTCATATAAAGTTTTATCATGACCATCCAACTTCTTTTCACTAATTTTAGAAGGGGTAAAATAGTAACTTTACATTATATATAAAAATAAATTTGAAAAAACAAAAATATTTTTTTTTTCATTTTAAAAACGTTTTTTTAAAATAAGTTTTTATTTTATTTTATTTTTCCAAGTTACGTTTTTAAAATAAGTTTTTATTTTTATTTTTTTTCAAGGAACTTTTTTTTTAAGATAACTTTTTATTTTATTTTGTTTATTTTTCTAAGTAACATTTTTTAAATAAGTTTTTATTTTATTTTATTTTTTAAGTAACTTTTTTTGAAATAAGTTTTTATTTTATTTTTTAAATTATGTTTTTATTTTATATTTTTTAAAATTTATTTTATATATATAATGCAAAGTTACCATTTTACTCCTTTTAAAATGGGTGAAAAATGGTGAAAAGAAGTTGGGTGTCTATGGTGAAATGTTATATGAACTTGGATGGTCATAGTGAAACGTTATATAAAATTGGATGATCATGGTGAAATAAAATCAAATTGGGTGGTCATGATAACACTAAATATTAACTTGGGTGATCATGATGAAATAAAATCAAATTGGGTGGCCATAATGACACTAAATATAAAGTTGGGAGGTCATTGACGGATTTAACCCATTTTATGTATGATAGTAATACCATTCTCTTTTATCTTGTTACCATATGATTATTAACTTGTAAGTTTTCTCCTTGCTTTTCTGGTTTTGTTATGATTACCTACAGGCTGTTCCTCCCGTGATACACCGAGACATCAAATCATCCAATATTTTGTTGGATCAGTTTATGAGAGCCAGGGTATGTTTATGTTTCTGTTGAATGCACTTTTTTCCCTGTGAAAGTAAATGCAAGATCAACTAATTCACAATATTGAATTTAATGTAGTAATCACAAAATGATTTCTGTGGAATTTCATACTCAGCTTGGAATATACGCAGGTAGCTGATTTTGGGCTTTCAAGGGAAGAGATGGTTAGCAAACATGCATCTAATATTCGAGGAACTTTTGGATATTTGGACCCTGAATACATATCAACGCGCTCATACACGAAGAAAAGTGATGTTTATAGCTATGGGGTGTTGCTGTTTGAACTTATTGCGGGAAGAAATCCACTCCAGGGTCTCATGGAGCATGTCGAACTAGTAAGTGTTCTTTCCCTTGCTCTTTACTGGAAATTCAGTCCTATGAATCCAACAAGGAACTAAGTACTTGTTTGGTAATGTTCATAAGTGTTTATAAACTGTTGGCCCTATGGAATGTGGGGATAATATGTGAGTAGTAAGTTGTGGGTCCTTTGAATGTATGGATAAAAAGTATGTATGATCAGATTATATTAAAATTTAAGCTAACATGCACTAGGATTGTGGGATGACATTAAGCACAAGTACCTTTATGAAGTGGTCTCTATTTGTTTCTCCAAAGTTTGCTTTTTAGCAAGGTGGATCAATTTCATTTTTGGTACCTTTATCTTTTTGTTATTGGGGAAGGTTCGGAGTGCCTAGTTTTTACCATGTTGATCAGTCTTGAGCATGTTTTATGCCAAAATTGCATAACCAATTTGCTTTTCCTAATATTGGTACTTATCATAATAGGCAGCGATGAATACTGAAGGAAAAGTTGGATGGGAAGAAATTGTAGACCCTCGTCTTGATGGGACATTCGATGACCTAGAACTCAATGAGGTGGCTGCTCTTGCATACAAATGTGTCAATTGTATCCCAAGAAGAAGGCCATCAATGAGGGATACTGTGCAGATGCTCTCTCGAATTCTTAAATCTAGGCACAATAGGAAACATAAAAATGATTCCTCAAATGCTAGATCAGATGAGATATCTATCAACATGGACCAATTAGGACACCAAAGTCCAATTCCTGAACACCATCGAGTAGAGTCCGTGGACAGTACAGCTGATTCAGTTGATGTATAAATAATAATTTTTTGATTCATTTATTTGTTATTTTGCGACTTCTTTCACCTTTTGATCTGTAACATATGTTGAGCTCCAAATAGAACCATAGTCGAGTCTTCTCATCATAATTTCAATGTAAAATAACAGTTTTCTTGTATTTTGTCTTTGATTTTTCGAATATGTTACATGTTGTGGATGATATGGAATATAAATGAAGCAAAAGGTAGCCTTTGAATGGCACATTTTCACCAAAATCCTTTTAAAAAGCTTAAAAAATTTCTAATCGACCACGTGTTTGCAAAACTGTTGGAACGCGATCTACTCATTTTGATAGTGTTTCGCGCGGGTTAGTTGCTAACAATTAAAAGGGATCAGACGATTGTGTAAGGGACAAACCTCTTGAGACAAAGTCCTAAAAAGGGGTATTCTTTTATTGGCGATGACTTTACAATTGGAAATCAAAAACAAAATGCCTTCAAGGGGCGCAAGCACACGAGTTACTGAAAAAAGTGTTTAAATCTTAAACTAAGGAAATTAAAATTACATGTTCTCTGTTCGAGAGTTTTTGATTCGATCCTTTGCTCTATGTCTTTTCTCTCTTTTATACTCCATGGATGATCTTTTTTGTGATCAACCGCCTAAAAATTGCTTAATTGTTCTGCAACTGCCCACTTTCCTCATAATGGCCAGCTTGTCATGAAAACTGCATTTTTTAACTGCTGCTATTACTCTTCGTCGTTCAACCGTTTTCGATTGAATTCCTTGAATCGTGGAACGTGATATGACTGTTTTAATAACTGCTTTGATAACTGCACTTCTTGATAATCACAACGCTTTATGTTTGTTAAGACTTTGGGGCAAGAATAGAGTAACAACTCTGGGCGACTGCATGACACTCCATTCGCTCAGATTCTGGGCGACTTGCAAACTTGGGCGATGGCGTTACCGCGTTTTTGGGCCTCCCTATTTGGGCCTTCATCTTGAATTGTTTGATTGGGCTTTGTTCTTTGGGCTATCTGATTTGGGGATCTTTCAATTGGGCTTCATTCCTTGGGCCGTTCGATTTGGGCTGAATTTTTATGTGTCAACAATTACCCCCCCAATATGGCAGAATTAATAATAATTATTAAATTTTGCCATATTCACTTTGTGTTTCCAGCAACATTCGAGATTTCCAAGAATTTCAATCATTGGTTTCTTCCATAACTTGAAAAGGTGCGTCGTTTTGCAAACCCTTATAACCCCCAAACACGCCATTTCACTGCACCATTAAATCACGCCTCAAATTTTTCGCGTCTCTCCCACGATTTACTGTTCATCTTTTGCTTCCCTACTAAGTAACTCTGAAAAACTTCATTCCATCTCAAATGGCTACTTCACAATCTCAAGCTGGCGACTCCTTTAGTTTTGATGACTTTCAGAAACTTCTGAGTCGTCCATACATAACTCCGAGTTGTCTCGCGCCCGCCGATGTCGAAGGCAATGAGTTCTACTTAGGTCCCTTCTTCAACAATGTAGAGGCAGTTGAACAGGCGGCGGTGGGTCAGCTGTTTCCTTGTACTCAAGGCCCTCCATTTCTAAACTCTCTGCCGCTGGGGCCACTTCGCGAAAGAGGTATTCGCACTTGGCCTAAATCTGATGTAGCTTTCCGTAGGTGGCATGCTCGTCTTGTGGGCCATGGTCCTACTAAGGCACTTTTTGATAATGCTAGGATTTCTGATTTGTTAGAAATCTCTATTCGCCCCCCTACTTTTGATTCAGCACTTTTTTCGATTGCTTTGAGTTTTTGGTCTTCTGAGTATAATACCTTTATTTTCCCTCTTGGCCCCATGTCTATTACTTTAAGGGATGTTGGGGCCCTAGTGAATCTACCACCTTTGGGCGATACCATTTTTCCTGGTATCTTAGTTTCTGGTGGCGCCCCAAAGTTTGGTAGAAACTACACCGAGTCTTATTCAAGCGTGCAAACCTTTCACAATCATTCAAGCGCTGAGCCTTTCCATACTGAGCGAGTGACTTTTCTTCTAGTTTGGCTTTGTAAATATGTTTTGTGTGTGCCAAGCATAAAACCCTCCCTGAGTTATTTACCCATAGCGCATGAATTGGCGCCTGGCAGGCCTTTGAATTTATGTTCTTTCTTTTTGGCTGCCCTTTATAGAGGCATGGTCTCTCTTTAAACTCAATTGAAGAATGGTGCATCTCCCACCGGTAGTGGACCTCTTTGGTTCACTCAACTGTGGTTGAGATCCTATTTTCCATTGCTTGGTGCTCCATCAATTTCTCGCTCCTCTGCTAGCTGTTATGGGCTAGCCATGGAGCCCTTGGCTCCTGTAAATATGTCCAGAAGGGACTTTTTTCATTCTTTTATTCTTTGGATTCAATCTCTTCCTTTTTTCTTTTTCCTCCTTTTTTGACTCCAGACTATGTACATCCCCCCTCCACTATAGACAGCGCGAGCACCTCCCTACTCATTTGGATCCAGTTTTTAACCGGGAGGGAGTTATTTCATGATATTTTAACTGGGACCAATGCCAGGGCAGGGGTAGAAATTTATGCTCCCCAATTTTTTGCTCCCCAACTTGGTTTCGGCCAAACTTGGCCTGTTCCTCCTTGCTATTCAAGGAACTTAATTGACCGTTTTCATATTATTAATAAGGCGGAGGCAGAGGCTATAAATGCTCGCAATCTTCTTTTAACCAGCAATTTTTCATTAGCCCCCTTCAATTCTAGCCACGCCATCCATCCTCTTTTTGAACAGCTCTGGCCGTCAGTGAAGCGCAGATTATTTGCGGCTGATGCCAATCGTGCCTTTCATTCACTAGACCAGCCGAGCATTTCTTCCCCTCCTCTTGTTTTAGTCACTCCTTTGTCCATCCGGAGTCCTTCTCCTCCTCGTCGCGCTAAACAGTCTGCTCGTCCATCTTCTTCTCTCCCTGCCAAGCCTACTATAGCCAAGAGTGCCCCAAGCCGCAAACGGCCAGCCTCAGCATCTCCTATTCTGGAGGATGATGTTGATGATGATGATGATACCCCTCTCATCGTCAGGAGGAAGGTAATTAAATTGGTTTACTCACAAGCATATTTTTCCATACTTGAAACTTTTCTGTATGCTGATGATTTTTTGGACTTCTCAGAAAAGTTCAGCCTCTCCTTCAAAAGCTTTGGCATCGACAGCTCCTGCTCCATCATCCTTTGCTGAGGCTGCTTCATCCAAACCGGTTGATGAGGGGACTACGCTTAAAGAGACATCTTCTATCCCAGAATCCTCATCACAACCCATGGATGAGCCACCTTCTTCCTAGGGTGTCAACCCCCCAAACATCGAAGCAGAAGGTAATTCAGTTTTTTGATGCCTTATCTTTGCTTGTGCTATTGGTTTCTGATTTGTTGCTCTTGAGTTTTGAAGTCCTCACGAATGGAGGAGTCATTGGTGGCAGACTTGGCTGAGGACATGCCATCTTCCACGATTGTTGATGAGGTAATCTTTGCTTCACTTTTATTTCTATCTTGTTCGTTGTAGTGAGAATCTTTAATATTAGCAATTTTCTTTGCAGGATGCTGACAAGATTGTGCGTTCTATCCAAGACTTGTTCGCTTCCTGGGGGCAAGTCAAGACGTCTCGCCTTGTTCCATCTGATCGTCCTGCTGCTTCTTCAGAGGAAGATTTGAAGTTCCTCAAGCAGTCGATATTTGAGTACGTGTCCTTCATGGATATGGACATTGGTAGGGCTAGTGCTGCCAGACACAAGGATAAACTTGAGCATTTGAATGCGAAGTTGGAGCAAGCACTGACGCTTCCGTCGTTCAATCTTTCTGTCGATTTTAAAACGACGTTGAAGGTTATCCACTCTGAGGTCCTTTCTTTGCTGGCCAAGAATGCTGAACTAAAGGCCAAAAGTACTCAATATCTTCCAGCCGTATCTGAAAAAGAGTCTTTGCGTATGGAGATCAATAAGGCTGAGGACAAGTTGAAAGAAATCTCTTCCGAAGTCATGATTGAAGACTCTTTGATGGTTAATTTGGCTGCTCAGATGAAGGAACTTCAAGCCAAAATGGACGACTGCAAGGCGAGAATGGCTGCTAAAAAGCGCAACGCCTCCCAGGGAATTGAGCGAACTAAGTCCTTGGTTGAGCAGTACAAGAAGTTGGAAGTTGATGATGATGTCGTGGCCGAATTGAACATCACTTCCTCTCGGCAAAACGAGGATTGGGAAAAACTTAGGGAACGAATTCATTCAGTGTGGAGTGGACTGTAATTAAGACATATGATGCCTTTTTCTTTTGTAATTTGATTTTCCCTTTGTAACTTTGTTCATCATTAATGAATATATATATTAACTTCTTGTACATTTATTTGACGTTTGTTTTTTAGTCGTCAATTCTTCAAGCATTTAACTGCTTTGTGCTAAAAATCTTGCCCATTTTGTTTTGATATTTCCACCAGTTTTCCCAAGACTTTGGGCTATTTAATTCCATTTACTAGGCAGAATGTGGCTGCTCATATTCTGTCTCTTCATCTCCACCCCTATAAATGCACGGACATTTTCCATCTTCCATCTTCATCTTCATTTTCTTTTTCGAAACCAATTTGCTGCCATTGTTTGGCACTCCGATAATCAATCCGATCCGAAACCTTCGTCTTTCTATAAAAATGGATTGTTTAATCCGCCCATTTTACTATTTGCCTTGATGTCACCTTTGGTGTCGGAGGTATAGGAAATATTTTTTGGCCAGCAGCAAAGTTTTTACCATCGAAGTTCTTCCCATCGTCTCTTTGTCCTTTACAAGGAGTCGATGATAGAAGGCAATTTTTGGGATGCTTGCGGGCCACATTGTTTGGTGAGAGTGCTTCTCAGTCTCTTTGCCCGCCATTGCAGTGATGCATTTTGGAAGGTGGTGAGGCCAGTCCACCCTCTTACTCGGCGATCCCACCATTGCAGCGATGCATTTAGGAAGGCAGTGTGAGGCTAGTCCACCCTCTTATTCAGCGATCAACCGGGAGATTAGCTTACTTTTGATTGTAGTTTGTAGAGCATCCATTATTTGTATTTTCGCCTCTTTGTAATGAACGTTTGATAATAAAGGACTTCATTTGAGCGTATTTCGCCCTGACCTTGTTATCCTTAATCATTCAACATATTTTGATTATGCTTTTATCTGTTCACATTCCCATAAAGAAGGAACATATTTTTTCAAATATTTGCCGTTAATGAATCTCACGTGCTTGGTGCCATCTAAATCTTCCAAGTGA